CTCTTTCTGATGCTTATTCTAAAAAGTTTGCAGCCGGAGGATCTAGTTGTATAATAAGGCCGAAGTTACTCAACCAGAAGAAACAATCTCCTCTGTCTCCCCCTCGGTTCCATTTTTCTCTCCTCTCACTCACAAGTAATAGCATGGCAAAAGGAGAAAAAAACTAGAGTAGAGAGGACGGGAGGAAGGAAGTTGAAGGTGATGAGAGGAGAAAGGCGAGTTACAAGATGAATGAGTTCTCCAGAAGAGAGGAGGAATCTATATATTTTTTTAAATCGAGCCAACGTGCATTCGCAGCAAACTTTGCACAACAAACCAACGGCAGTGCGGGTCGATAAAAGGGCTCCGCGTTGCTCTCTGGATGCAGTCGGCTTTTGCTTCCCAGCTGGAGCACCCGAATCTGCTCTCAGCTGTCAAGCTGTCTTTCTGGCAGATTATCACTCTCACCCCGAGAAATTAGACGGCGCAGCGATCCAGCATATCTTTGTACACAGGCACAATCCGTGCATTAAGAAAGAGTAGCACACACACAAACAGGCACAATCACGAGCCTGTTCGGTGACATTACATCTCTGCTGGGAGATCTCATTAACCACAGACACCGACAGCGAGATGGAACCAGTGATGCCGTGCGTGATGCTGAGTGTGTGTGAGTGTGTGTGTGCATTTACAGATCGAACACTTGTACATGAGGAAAGACAGGAGTGACAAGGATTAACAAGCAGACTGAAGCCTGCTGGGAAATGATTGATGAGTTTATATGTCTGTGTGTGTGTGCGATGGGTAAAGACATACACACTAAAACAAGTCCTCGCCGACAGTCGTGGGACGTTCGACGGCTCTATGAGACCAACTGTCACATTGTATTTTCAAAATAAAATCAAAGAGTGAAAGAAAGTGATGAAATCTTCCAGAACAAGACGTTCAATAAAAGCTCAAATCAGTCACAAAGACTCGTATGAGGTTATGAAAGACATCAAGAGTTTTCGTTGTTGTGACAATAATAATAATATACGTCTTTTATGTAACATCATTTTTCTAAAAAGAGTGTGCTTACAGAGGAAGAATAACTCGATTATGGCTGCAACTGACGATTAGCTGAGTGTCTCCAATGCTCCAAAACACACATTTATGGAGTTTACAGTGGTATAAAACAGAGAAAAGCACATTGAAGAAAATAAAACACACATAGATGAAAATAGTTGCAGATTAATTTTCTGGACACCGACTACCGGATTAAGTAAACTAGTAAACAGTCTTGAACTATGTGAAAGACAAATGAAAAAGAAAAGATTGAGGGTATGAGCAAAGTTATTAAAGTGGCACAGAAGAGATTTAGATTAAAATTACAATAGTTTAAATCAAAGTACCAGAAGCCGACATATCTGGACTTTAAATCCCTAGTACGGGTCAAAACTGGAAAATACTGGATCCTTTGGTTCCCATTTATGCGACTAAATTGGGCCTTTTGTTAGAGTGTGTCTGCCTGGTAAAAGCTCACCAGTGTTGAATGGTGTAGGATTAATTGTTTGACTGACCCACTGACAGTATTAAAATAGTGGACAGAGCTTCTGGGTCTGTGAAGTGAAGCCAACAAGTGTCATAAATCTGCAGTCTATGTAACGGCCAGCAGGGGGCAGCTCATTACCATTCAGTCTTACGGAGAAATGAGGCGACTTCTCAGTTGATTTATGAGCTCAGTAAACAGTTTCCTGATGAGTTTCTGGTCTCAGTCTCTAGTTTCAGTCTTCTTCCATACAGCATGATGTTCATTTAGTAACTGATGGTCCCATTTAGAGTAAAACAGACCATAAAGCAGGGTATGCTTTAGGGCGGGGCTACCTTGTGATTGACAGCTCATTCTCAGTGAGTCTGTCCAGCTCAACGCAGCAAACTCAGATCAAACTGTCAAACAGTGCTGATCAGATATGGATCCAGATATGGATGAACTAACGGAATTAATACATTCATCGAGATTAGTTGTTTGAAAAGGGTCTTAAATGTTGATGCATTTCCCAAACCTCAAGCTGACGTCTTCAAACGTCTTGATTTGTCCACAACGCAAAAATATTCAGTTTACTGTCAAAGAACATGAAACAAACCAGAAAATATTCACATCTAAGAATCTGAAATCACTCAAACACAGAGCCATGAAGATCACGCTTTAGAGAGACTTTAAGGACAACTTATTTCCTGCTATAAATTTGTCAAATATAAAGTCATTTCTAGGACAGCGGTTCCCAAACTTTCTCGTATCAAGTACTCCGACAATAGATGCACATTAGACCACCGACCCCCAATATGTGAGGATTTTGTCTGAAGGAACCTCCTCTGGGGTTAGGATCTCTGCATATTACAATCATGCAAAACAGCCAGCCCTATTTCTCTTAATATGAAAACGTTCAAATATAACCCACCCAGGGACCCCTGTTGGACCCCAGGAGACCGTGTTGAGTAATGCGTTACAGAAAGCTGACCCTGGATCTGCCACCCAGTAAATGATCCAATCACATCTCTGCTGAGATCTCATGAGACGGACCCTCTATTTACTGAAGCATAACCTCTTACTGAACAACCCTGTCACCAAAAAACAACGTGGATATTGAACAAATCTGCAAACCGTCCAACATATTTCAGTTCCTTCCAGGCCGACCAAAAATGTTCCCAATCAACTAGCAGTCGATAGATAAAGACAATATTCGACTTGTCGTCAAACGTTTATGATATTAATTTGATTATTTAAATCTGTATATGTGAACAGCAGCCTGTTAAACAGCAGTAATGATTGTGAATGTATCAGGAACAAGCAGCGAGGAGACTGAACCTTTAGTTCATTTATTCCAACACAGTGTAACATCACACAGTCGGGTTGTTCAGCACACGGAATA